GTATAGTGTGAAAAGGTGGGCAGATCTCTTCTCTGGAGGACAGATCTACCAATGTAGTGGGAAAGGGTGGTGAAATTTGACTTGATTCTGTTTTCTCTTATAATGTTTAAATTATTCTTAAAATATAGTTTAAATATAAGGGGGAAGTGGTCAGTTCATAGCACTCAGGATCTTTTTGACATCGGCCTGAGAGAGCCAGATGAAGTTGTCAAATACTGAATCCAAAGGCGGCCAAGGGGCATTTAGTTCACATACTTTATCAAGGTTGGCAGGCAGATCGCAGCAGAGCGACAGGACCTTCTCTGCAAAAAAAGCTCGCAAATGCCTTGTAGTATATATCTGAATTACTAGTCTTCTTAGTTCTCTCAGTGAGAGAGGTTAATGTCCCAATTACCCTAACAGTTGTACCGGGCGAGAGCTAGCGGACGCGATGGAGGCTACATAGAATTCCCTCTTAGCAGTCTTCACTTGCCATCTCATAGTATTTCATAAGTGTCCTATAAGATTCTATTGAAGCTTTGTCACAAGACCTCTTCTTCAGAGGACAGGTCTACCAGTATAAGTGGGAAAAGGTGGGCAGATCTCTTCTCTTGCTCTAATCATCTGATTACTTGCTCTAGTCATCTGAGTTCCGGCTTCATCCCTTTGAGCGCCGTGGTGTACCACGGAGACAATATGTGGTGGGAACGTTGGGGAATGATTTCATTGATGGTTTCAGAGAGATGGGAGTTCCAGTGAGTTGCCAGGGGGCATTGGATCCCACAGAGCATTCTGAAACCCAGTTGGGCCCATCAGTCTCTGCAGGCGAGCATAAATCCACTCATTGCCTATACATGACGGAGTTGGGATACTCAGCCGAACCTTCAGGGCATAATGTTCTGACCACGGCAGTACTCACTACATCTCCAACAAACTCTCTTTCTGCTAGCCCTGTCCTGCTGTATACCATCTAGGTCATGGTTAGTCCCAAAGGCTCATGGGGATGCTTTTGAAAGACCCCCCCATGACTAGCATTAGGCTATACAAGCATTAGAAGTCTTTGGTTAATTTCCAGCAATTCTGTTACTTTGAACTGGTACCCCATAAATAAGATTTTACAAACCACTATTGAACTACTTCGGAATGATTTTTACCTCTCTGGCATTCACATACCTTGGAGAGAAAATTGATACTGGTTCATTGAATGAATGAATGAGTGCATTTATACCTGGGATCCTCGTGTGAGTCTTCTTTCAGATGACTGATTCTTCTTTTAAATGATTCTTCTTTCCATGTTGATTCATATTGTAATTACTTTTGAATATTTTCTTTGTATACTTTTATACACTTTAGCATACACAAAAATATAAATTAAGTATAATTAGAATTTAATTTATTTGTCATCTTATTACAGCATCTTTGTTGCTACTCCATGCAGTAGGGGGGAGCAGAGGGAAGCGAAAGCCACCCATAAAATGTCTGGCAGCCATTTAAACCTGACAGCCCAACAGGTCTGCCTGTCAGCTGTTAGGTTTAAATGTATGGCAGCCATTTTTGCGGGACAGCCGATAAATTTGTATTACTGATTAGACCCAAATAAAAGCCAAATAATTTCAGCTTTTATTCGGCATCACTAAGCCGAATCAGATTCTCAAATCTGATTTGGTTTAGGAAATAGCTGAATAATACTGATAAAGTATTATTCAGGTATTTATTCAGTTCGATTTATACAGAATGCTCATCTCTAGAACACATTGTTTAAAAATACTTTTTTTGCATAGGCACAGCTTACATTCAGTCACCCAGTGAAGATCCTGGTGCTGTGGTAGCAGCTGCCGCCAAAACACTTCAGAAAGCCTGCACAGCCAATCTGAAGCCTTCTGAGCAAAAGTCTCACCTGGCTCCACGCTCTTTCTAAGAACAGTGGTTGGCATCCGGGAAAGGTGTCAGTGGGCACCATGGCGCCCTTAGGTGCTGTGTTGGGGACCCCTAGTTTAAACATACTCTTAATTATTTTAGTCAGGTTGTGGGTGTGTGCAAGTTTTCTCACACAGCCGGACATCTCCTCAACCCTTAGGGTTAAACACTTGCCTTAAAGAAAATAAAAGAGAAACTGCCAGCCCTTAAGAATCCAGTACCGCATGCTGCAACATTGCAGTGAACGCTCAGCCCCTGGCTTGAAGTCCTGCAGTGCCCTCGTTGAGAAAGGAGCCGTGAAGGAATTGGATTCTGACATACCTTTGCAAGAAACCCTTTTTCCGCCTTTGGTCACACGACGTTGATCTGTGCAGCTCTGCCACTGGCTATAGCAGAATTTCGCTTCCAGAAATCTTTCCTCGCTACAGAAATTTATCAAAAGATGTTTGGGAAGAGCCTCAGGGGTGACAATAGAAACAAGCCCTAGAAGGATTCCCCCAAATACCTGCAGTTGACCAAAGGAATCTTTCTATTCCTATCTGTACCACTAGCCTTTCTCCTGCTCTCTGAGCTGTAAGAAACACAGAATGGCCAAAGTAAGATTTCAGGGTCATTCCTGTGTTCTCTCCCCAGGCTAGACGTGTGCCTGTAGATTGTTTGCAGTCCCTGTGCAGGGAGAATTTGAGATTGAGACGGGGAATAGCCCCCCCCCCCATTGCTATGTCCGTGTGGCATCAGGATTCTATAGCCTGTTCTTTCAAGCATTGCTGATGTGTCTTTTTGTTTCCTTGCCAGGTATGCCATTCCACCAGAACATGGCAAGCGGCTGGAGAGATTGGCAAAAGGTAAGCTGTGCCTGCCGTCCTTGCCTGAAAGCCCATGCACAAAAGCTTATTGATGAGGATTCCTGAGCCAGTAAATTTGGGATGTTGCAGCTATATCAAACATCTCTCCTTCCACAATAGCGACTTGTGTATGGATCACTTGGGTGTCAATTTGCACACATTTTTCTGTATGTACAAAGGTGTGATCCTTGTACACTTTGTACATTTGGGATTGAGTTCACATTTCAGTACCAGTGCGCATTGTATGTCACACTGCAAGAAGCCCAAAGCGTTTCATCTGTTTGTGGAGCTTTCTTATTGGTTCTAGCTGAGGCTCTAAATACAGTCCAGAAAGTGCCTTGTTGGATCGACAGTTGGATGTTAACTCCCCCTTCTCACGCATTCTGAGGCTGAATCTCTTGGCCTCTTAACCAGCGGGGTTGTGACTAGTAACTACAGTTGCATCTGGCCTTTGTAATCAGGTGGCTCCTTGAAGCCCTTTTTTTAAAAGTCCAAGTGGGTTATTTTGGATTTGGGGTGTCTTTGAAGTTGCTATCAAAATACCAGTGGTTTAGCATCCTTCTGAACTTTCAACCAAGCTGTACCTCTCAGTGCAACCTTCAATTGTGCTGGCTCTGTGTGTCAGCCTAAGTCATCTCTTGCCTCTGCGGGCAGAGCTTATCTGCCCTCCCAGATGTAGCAAACATAGTTGCTTGCCTGGGCTTCTAGGGTATGGTGTGAATGGAGGGTCTAGTTGTAGCTCTGACACTGAAGTGGTTTCAGAAACTTGTTCTGTGGGAAAACTCTGGTGATATTGCACAGTGGAAGTGGAAATATTCAGGCAGGCATCATTGTGAGAGGACTTCTCAGATTTCATAAATTTGTTGCTGAGAAGTGAGAAGCTCTTTCCCAGCGCTTGATGAAAATCTTAGCGATGAGTCTCAATAATAAAACACTTCTCTTTTCTTCATTTGTTTTTGGTCTGTTAAATACAAACACCATTCATATTGATTGCTGGGCATTTTTCATTTAAAAAGTGCTCACGGGTTCAATAGTTGTGGATATAGCCGGTCATAATTATCGAACTCCTCTCTTCATGATGAATATAATCAGGCGTGTGCCGGCTTGGGTGGCAGCACTGTGGTCTGCGACTTGTATTTGTGGGGAAGGATCGTCTATTCCCTCTTCCGCCCCTTTCCGTTTTATTATTGACTCGGAGCTGTCATCGCTTTCCCTCATCCCCTGCAGTAAAGCTGCAGATTTTCAACAAGCATGCAGTGAGAGATAGCAGTGGGCTGTAACTTACTTTTCTGTTGTACTCTTTAATCATTATTTCTGTGTGATTTTAAAAAAGAAAGAGGAGATTAGTTCTTTGGGTTGAGAATACATCCTCAAGAATGTAGCTTGAGGAAGTGGCTTTGGCACTCTGGCAAGGGTGTAGCTTGAGGAAGTGGCTTTGGCACTCTAATGATCTGAGAAACTGCACTGGGGCTTACCCCCCTGATCCTCTCTTACCATCAACCTGGCCTGTTCTCTGCTTCGCTTGGTGTGGCTGCCATTGGTGCCTCTTCCTGTTCCATACGCAAACCTCCTAGTAGTGCTCAAAAGCAGCAGGCATAGGGAGTGACCCCTTGGACAACAGGTCAGGTAATGGAATGGCCCCTTCTTGATTCAGAACTGTCTAGTTGTTTGAATCCCCGGTTATCAAGAGATTCTTCCGGGTCCGGTAACAGGTTGTATTCTTAAATGCTAATTTGAGTGATAAACGGAAACACAAGACATCTGGTGGTAAGCTGACCCATGACGGTAAAATATCTGTATCCCACCTGTCTTCATGGTTCAGGGCTGCTCACAATACTAGTAATAGTTAAAACAAAAAATAAAAGAGCAGACCCCCAATCTCTCCCGCTGCCTTCCAAGTAACCGGTGGTCTCATGTGAAAGCACGAAGAAGCCAGCATCTGGCAAAGAAGCTCCATGTGTGATGTCTGGCCCCATTCACACAGCAGAGTTTATGACTGTAGCCTTGTCATCACTCTGGCCTTTTGATGAACTCCTGCTAGAGTGCCTGTGTCAAATAGTGCTGGCAGCCTCCGGGCTCATGAGTTTTCCGTGCCACACTAACTAGTGGGAGCTACCGCGGCTTCCTGAGGCCCAGGCTCACCACCTCCACAAGCTGTGCAAGAATCTTTATTCAGATCCCCGCTCTGCTGCCTGGGTTGTCAGACAGCACTTCTTTCATGAGCAGAAGCAGAGCTTGGTTTTCATGTTGCAGGAGCACATGGTTAGGAGCGGCACTCTGCCTGCTGGAATCCTTTGAAAGGAAAAAGGCAAGAAATGAGTGGGGGGAGCTGCCGCCGCCACCACCTCTGCCCCTTTTCAGCTGAGTCCTCTCCTGGAAGGAATCGTTCCACTTCACCCTGGCTTTCAGGAGGCCAGGTGGATGTGGGGCAGGAGTAGTGGCTGTGCTCGTTGTTTAGTCTTTGTATGTATTTAAATTGTTCATTAGCCGCCTTTCTTTCTTCTGGCGCTCCAGATGGCTTCTTGCAACACAGATAAAGTGCAATAAAATAAATTCAGGTGTGGAGCCATGTTGGTCTGAAACCAAAGAACAAAGTTTGAGTCCAGTGACACCTTTAAGATCAACCAAGTCTAATTCTGGGTATAATTCGGAGAAGTGTGCATGCACACAAAAACTTATACCCAGAATTGAACCTGGTTGGTCTTAGCCACTGGACTAATCGAATAAAATAGATTAAGAATGTTTAAGATTGAAAACACAGGACCTCTCTCTGTGATCTTAGTTCCCAGACAGGACGGTCGGGGAGAAGATGGTCCTTCAGATACCCCGGTCCCAAGCCACGTAGAACATCTTTCCCCTTTCCCCGACCCAGCTTCCCCTCCTGTGTCAGTTGCAAATCTTGGTATTAAGGGAGGGCTTTCTCTTCAGAATTCCAGAGTGTGATAGTAATGCAAGATCATCGCTGGAGTTTCGGAGCCGCTACATCCCGGCAGCTGTCCTTCTCCCTCTCATTTTCAACACCCATAGTACAGTGTCAGAGAGAAAGCTTTTCACTGACAAAACTAACTGGTGATTTCTTTTATGGGGAAAGAGGGCAGGCTAACCAGTTATTGGGCTGGAATTATGGTGTCTGAGAAATACAGATTGCCCACACGAGGGGCTGTGATGAAGAAAACCGTCATCTCTTGTCTCTTGGGGAGGCAGTCATGCTAGACATCATATAAAATAGAAATAACATATTGGGAGCCACTGACTGGAAAATTAGGGCTTTAGTGCAATGTTATATTCAAGCCGTTTTCACTTGGTCATACGTCAAGCTTTACAAAAACAGCTCATCAGGAAAGCATAAAGACCCCGTAAATCCCCACTGCCCGCTGAGGGTGTTTGGGTTTATAAAAAAAAAAAAAAGCTTGAAAGTCTATTTGCAATTTTTAAAAAAACGCATGGTGCACTGCTCCCCCCCCCCTCGGTTTGTGCCACTCTGTTGCAACAAATGCCACAGATCATTGCAGGCTTGTCAATAGCTACTTGCTTGTGGCAAGGAAGACTTTGCTTCCAGGCAAGCATGTAGACTTTTGTTTGTTAACTGAATGCAAATTGCCTCCTCCCCATAAAATTACGCTGTGTCTTTGTCACAAATAACTTGAATTGGTTACTAGTCAAGCTACTAAAACTTATTGTGGCATTGTCAATTTTGCAGACTTATTTACGAGGCTGGATGAACATGTGAACCAAATTACTTATCATCTAACCTTTCTGTATTTTGACTGTTGAAATTTTTTTCTCTCCTTCCCTTCAGTGTTTGTGATTTAAGGCTTGTGGGGGGGGGGGGTGTGTTTGTGTGCGGAAGCAGCAAACAGCATCTCTCCCCCCCCTCCCCGGCGTCATATTTCCAGAGATGTTCAGAATGGTGGCATGAGCTTGCAATTAATATGGAAAATGAATAGCTGCGCTATAAATGGGCTCGCTGGGAGAGTTGCAGAGCCCATGGAGGGACCATTAATGTGTTACCACGTTATTGGTGCTAATCACTTAAAATGTGCTCCTTTATTAGTTGCTTTAATGAGAGCCACTTAAACTGTGCATTAAAAAGAGGAACTGCAGAGAGGGACGATGAACTGGGTGGCAGGCGCTCATAATTCTAATTGAAATGCTTTTAGTATGGAGGGGGGAAAAGTTGCCAGAAGCCAGTGATTCCTTGCACTTTTAAAAACCTCCGCCATTATGTGGCATCAATTAATGCTTTGTTGTTCAAATCTTAGAATTATATTTTACTCCCAATGCGCTTCCCCCTCATCCTCCTCCACTCCCTCTGCTGTCTCTCCCTGAGCCTGTTGAGTCTGTGGCATGTCTAGTGGAAACGTGAACTCCTAGAGGGTCAAAGGCAGTGATCGGGGAGATCTGTTCGGTGCCGGAAAAAAACAGTTCAGACTTCTGAGTAACATACTGAAGTCAGCATCAGCTTTATGCAGGAAGGGGGGGGGGGAAACACCGTTTTTTTTAGTGCCACCATCAAATTGTGTTTGCATAGGGGTTTTCCTAGTCTGGTTCCATGCAGTTCTATTAACTGTGCTGGAACAAGAGCCCGTAAATGGTTCCTGTTTCCCAACCGATGTATGCAAGTACCTTTGATCCTCCTTACAAGGTATGTGGTCGAAGCTGAATCCCAGAGCGGTAGTCAGTAGATAAAATAGGAACGCTTCTCATTTTAATAGGGCAAATCAGTCATCCTCAGAGAGCTTCCTCCAGTTGTCTTCTGTTTCCAAGCCAATGGCTGAAACTGGTGCTGGTTCATATGGCAGTTTAACCCATAATATATGAAGCCTGGCAGTGCTGTAGAGGGGCTTCCTCCCATCAGACTCTGTTCGCCAAAAGGCCCTTTCTGACAAGGTGTAGGGGAGGGCTGGGTGTGCGATGAGAACACTTTCTGTTGCATATGCAGAGGTGAGCAAAGACCAAATGAGCTTTCAGACTCAGGTTCACACTCAGTTGAATCGTAC